CCTCCCTCCCTCCCTCCCTCCCTCCCTCCCTCCCTGTGATGGACTGAGACCTGTCCAGGGTGTCCTCCGCCTCTCACACAGTGATGGCTGGATATGGGCACCAGTGACCCAAAATGGAAGAAGCGGGTAAAAGATAATGGATGGATGGATTGGATCGATTGATCAATCTATCCATCCCTCCATCCATCCCTCCCCCCCACAACCAGAAAATGGAAACCCCTTTTTTTATCAAACATATTCAACATTAATTGAAACACAAAAAAGAAATTAAAATTAGCTAAAAACAATCAAGTGATTTCTTTCTTTCCTTTTATTTCTGTTTCAAACAAGTCCTCCCTGATAATATGTGCCTGTTGGTCAAGGCTTGTCGTGTGTGACTGCTAAGTGTTTACCTTTGTTCTGAAGATTGTCGCGACGAAGCTGAGGGTCCGCTGCTGCAGGAGGAAGAGGCTCACTCGGCCAGCTTCCAGCCCACAGACAGTGATGTGCCCAGCTTTCTGGAGGACTGCAACAGAGTAATCATCTTTTTTCATCCAGAGGAATCAGCAGCCTTAATGCACAGAAACTTGATGTTTTACAACAGTTTCTTCTTTTGTTTAATTAATAACTGTTGACTGGTCTTCATAAAGAACATAACTGAGTTCTCGTTAGCTTTGTGTTTTCATCCGTTTCTGTTGGCACGTTTGTTCTCAGGCCAAACTACCTCGTGGGATCCACCAAGTTCGTCCTCATTTGAAGAACATTGACAACGTTCCTCTTCTGGTCCCGCTCTTCACTGACTGCACCCCTGACAGTGAGTCACATTTGTGCGGTTCAATAAATGGTTTTAAAGTAACAGTCGCATGGGAACTGCTAATTGATGCGTTTGTTTTTTTGTCTTGGTAGCCATGTGTGAGATGATGAAGATCATGCAGGAGAACAGAGAGGTCACCTGTTGTCTGGGAAGCTCGGCCAACTTCCGAAACAGCCGCCTGTTCATGCAGAGTGACCTCAGGTACACTCTGGGGCTGGACGATGCCTCCTAAAACTAATACCACTATGCACGATGCACAAGATATGTTGCAGTATTTTAAATCCACCTTACGTCACTGCATAAACGTGTCATCCACCCCGGTCCTTGTGGCCCGCAGACCTGCATGTTTTCACTGCAACACACCTGGTACCTGCTCAGAATGTCCTCAAGTTTAGCAGAAGCCTGTCAATCACTCATTCAGTTCAGTGAGATGTGTTGCAGCAGGGGAACATCTAAAACATGCAGGACAGTGGTCACGAGCATCATAGCCTGACTGTGGCTCACTCAGACTGACAAAACAACTACAAACCATACAACTGTCCTCTCACATGCTGCAGCAGTAGATGTGACTTTAAGCTAGTATAGCTTTAAAATTCAAATTAGGATGCAGTCCAGCAGCATAGTTTGAAAATGAAACATGTCTAGAACATGTGAATGGACTAACTAAAACAAAAAACAGCTCGTGTATGGGAGAAAGCATCGATAGTAAAATGATTTTTTTCTTGCTCTGCAGCATCTCACTGGACCCTCTGTATCCATCTCAGTGTTCACGGGAAACATTTGGCTATGCCACTGGAGGAGGGCCTCATGAGGACACTGAAGGACTGTCCCCTCTGAGACTTTCAGGGCAGCTGAACAGCCTGGGCTGCTCCATCTCCTTCCACCAAGGAGACAGTGTCAGCATCGCCAAACTCATAGAACAGGTCAGACCCGTGCAGAGCATCACACGCTGACTGAAAGCTTCTATCAGGATTGAATTCATCTCTGAATCTTTCCCAGGCACGACACACGACCGCTGGCATCCGTAAGTGCTTCCTTTTTCTGCTGCAGTGCCAGCTCAGTCTGGTCATCATCCAGGTGAGACAGAAGATCAAACATTCAAAAGATTTGTGAGTCTTGAATCTCTGAGTGAAGTTCTGCTGGTGTTTGTGTGCAGTTCTTAGCCTGTCTTGCACAACTCCCCCCTCCTTTGAACACCACCGACATCCTCTGGGTGTCCTGTTTCAGCTGCCCTTTGCTGAGGTACACAAATCACACCCGCGGTTTGCTGTGACGTGCACAGTGTTGGTCTGATATCTGGACTGGTTTTTGCAGTGTGTCTCTTTTGGGGAAACCACCTGACAGTTCAGTTATGACGGTCGCCACAGGGAAGAACCTGAATTCAATCCCCAAAAAGGTATTTTTACTTTTAATCCATGAGCCACAGCCATAACACATTTGCGTACAGCTAGCCTGCAGGACAAACACACAGCGAGTCTGTTGTGAAAGCCTTACACACTGACGTGTTGTCCTACCTGTTGTAAAGCTGACACAAGCTGCATGACATCTGTAGTGGTTCTATATAACAGGGGCGCCTGTGGCTGAGTGGTGAGAGCAGTCGTTCTCCAATGCAAGAGTTGGGGGTTCGAATCCACCAGCAGTCACATGCTGAAGTGTCTCTGGGCAAGACACTGAATCCCTCATAGCCTCTCATGTATCCTATCAGTGTATGAATGTGATAAAGCTCTGATTAATCATTGTAGAGATCTAGTATAGAGCTGGATGAATGGGTAAATGAGGACACACATTGTTGTAAAGAGCTTTGAGTGTCTTGATGATAGAAAAGTGCTATATAAGTTTAGTCCAAATAACCTTTAAACTTCTGTGTATATTTTTTCTCGGCAGTCCGATATTTGGAGCCTGTTGCTAACTTCTAATTTCAGATTCCATCCTGAGCTGCCCTGATGAGTCAGTTTTATCCTCTCTGAGTTAAGAACTCCAGTTACATCCACAAATTCACGCAGATTATTTAATTTAATAGATTATTCTTACAGTAAAAATATTGAAACTGCAATATTCTCTCTAGATGCAGAAAAAGCTTTTGATAGAGTTAACTGGAAATTTTTATTTGCAGCCTTACATAAATTTGGTTTTGGAAATTATTTCATAAATTGGTTACAAATATTATACAGTTCTCCTTCAGCATGCATTAGGACAAACAATCAAATATCTGCTAGTTTTGCTCTGCAAAGGGGAACCAGGCAGGGATGTCCACTCTCCCCCTCACTGTTTGCTATTTTCATCGAACCGCTAGCCGCAGCAATCAGGCAAACTACAGATATTAAAGGCATAAAATGCAAGAACATAGAGCACAAAATCAGTCTATATGCTGATGATGTGCTGCTCTTCCTCTGGCATTCACAAACCTCCATCTCTCAGGTTATTGGACTGATAAACTCCTTCTCAAAAGTTTCAGATTACTCTATAAACTGGCTAAAATCCACAGTTCTACCAATTAATTGCTCTTTCAACAATTCACTTACTACACAACTGCAATCAGGGAATATTACATATTTGGGTATCAAAGTTTCGCCTAAATTAGCAGATTTAACAAAACTAAACCACACCCCACTTTTAAAGAAAATTGAGGATGATCTGGCTAGATGGAAATCTTTACCCATATCTCTCATGGGAAGGATCGCATCAATAAAAATGATGGTTTTGCCTAGAATAAATTATTTATTCTCAATGATCCCAAATAAACCATCATCTGACTGGTTTAGATCCCTGGACTCCTCTATTTCTAAATTTCTGTGGAAAGATAAACGCCCTCGTATTAGATTAAAAACACTACAGAAATCCAAAGATAAAGGAGGACTAGAATTACCCAACTTTTATTATTATTTTCTAGCCAACAGGCTAGAATACATCTCAAGATGGATAAAACACACACCCCTTGATGAACCCTGGCTAGACGTAGAACAGACATTTTGCAATAATATAATGATCTCGGACCTTCCATTCATTAGCTCAAACATAAAACGACAGGAATGCTTTAAAAGCATCAATATCAGCTCCTCTCTGACAGCTTGGTGGGAGTTTCTTAAAATGACAGAGTCTTCACTAATCCCATGTAAACGTACACCCATCTGGAACAACCCTGACATCCTACAACAGAATAAGATGATAAACTTCCCAGGTTGGAGGTGTAAAGGAATTGAATATTTGGAACATATATATGAAGAAGTGGACTACATCCCATTTAACAGATTAATTACACAATATGGGATTGATAAGAATAAATTTTTAGAATATCAACAAATTAAATCTATAACCAAAAATAAATTTAACCTTAATAACACTAGGATTGAAATGTCAACAAGTGTATTAGAATTCCTTAATCTTAACCCTCCCAAATTACTATCTAAGGTTTATCAGAAACTCAGTAAAATAGATGAAGCTATATCTCTTCCCATTGTAAAATGGGAGACAGACTTGTCAGTTAATTTTGACCAAAACTTTTGGTCGCAGATCTGTCTGAGAACTTTTAAGATGACTAAAAACTCGAATTTACAACTAATACAATACAAAATCCTTCATAGAGTACACTATACAGGTCAAAGGATGTTCAAGATGGGTTTCGCATCATCTAATATTTGCTCACAGTGTACAGACAATATTCCGGACAATTACATCCACGCATTTTGGTTCTGTCCACCTGTTCAGAGGTTTTGGTGCCGGATATGTGAAGACTTATCAAAGTGTCTGAGATGTAATATTCCACTCTCTCCGTCAGTTTGCTTATTGGGCCACTTAGATGATGTCACCTTGGAGACAAAATCAATTCATATTATTCTCACTGCCCTATGTATAGCAAAGAAAACTATACTCATGAATTGGAAAAATAAAAATACACTTAGTATTAAACAGTATAAAGACCTTCTGTTAGATTACATCAGTCTTGAGACAGCCTGTACCCCCACATCGGACTATTCTCTCTGGACTTCTTTAATCGGCTCCAACACGTAGTGGAGGTGGGTGGTCCCCTTTGATTCTGTCCCGTGGGGCATGGTGGTCGGTGTGGGTGGGGTGTTGGGGCTGGGGACGTGGGGGGGGTCATGGGCCTGGAGCAGTGGCGCCCGACTGGGGAGGTGGCTCTGGTGGTTCTGGGTGATGGCCTGTGCTGGCTGCATGCGGGCTTCTGGGCGGTCTGTACCGGCGGACATGGGTTACTGGCCTGGTGACCTGGCTGTCCCTGGGTGGGTCTGGGGTGGACGCGGGCGCGGGTTCTGGGGTGGTATCGCTCCTGGGCGGGGTTCCCGGCTTGGTCCGGGGATCTCGGGCCTTGACAGGTATGTTGCCGGGGTCTTGGGCCGGCGGGTGCGCCGGCGCCCGGCCCTGGCCTTGGGGCCTTCGGTGCGTTGGTGGGCTTTGGGGCCTGTGCCGTGGGGGGGTGGGACTGTTG